AGATGTGACAAAACTAAGTTGCTTTGTACAGGGCCTGGCCTGTTTTGTAAAGTCTTTTTTCGGTTTCTGGAGGTTTTCTGTCACAGAATATCTGCTAAGTTACTGCCAGTAATCATCATAATTATTTAAAGTGCTATCAATGTCTAGGAATTTTTTGTAGCTAACAGGAGCTGCCTTGGAGAGATATACCGCGCCATATTCATTAAATGTAAACGGATAGATCGCTAGATGAATGAATTACTCTTTCCGAGCTGCACGCTTGACATTTGGCTAACTCATGAATATATAGGCATATATATATATCCATAAGTACGTACCCACACACACACACACACCCACACCCACATGCACACACACAGAAACACACACACACACACACACACACACACACATATATATATATATATATATATATATATATATATATATATATATATATATACCCTTGAGCAAATTAACTGAAACAACCGCTTTAATTTCTTTTATTTTAACATAGGGTCAGTTTTAGAACCGCTAGAGTGACAGAGTCTAATCGATTTCTATTTTTTCCTCAGATTAGGTCATTTGCAGTGGTGTGCTGTAATATGAATCTATTTCCGGGGTATATGATGAAATTTGTTTGGTTTTGAAAATATAGCGTCATCCGTGATTGCATCATAATTTTTATCATGCCCAGACACTATTGTCTCGACTGTTGATTAGTTGTCCTACGACCATTGCCTGCGATGGGCGTTACTCCAAGGAGCGTACAAAAATTATAACTCTGCACAAACACACTGGCTAGCCTTACCAGTGAGTAAATCAAATTACTACAGACTAGCACGGAAACTGATTTAAGTCCAATTGAGAACCTGTAGTCAATCTGGAAGGAACGACTCCGTGGAATAGACATACAAAGTACTAACATGTGCACTGGCTCATGGTTTATTGGAAAAATACAAAAAAATTGTAAATAGTAACGTAATTAATCGTTTTGTTTCAATGAATTTGCATAGGGGTATATATATATATATATATATATATATATATATATATATATATCTGTGTGCGTGTGTGTAAAATTCCATTTATAACTAAAATATATATCTATTAAAGGACAATATGGACAAAGAGAAAAAGAAATCTTAGACGACACATTTCATACGCTGAGAGACGTTATCAAAGCAAATGTAAATTTGTTATGACAAGCTCAGAATAATATCGCTTCAGAATCTACGAAATTAATGAAGGATGCCTTGCCACGCCAACATGCATTAATGTCGAAGTGTTTTAAACTTAAAAGAAAAAGGTTAAATTCATAACCCACTGTTGTTTAAAAATAGATGATACATGAACTAATCCCAAACTAAAATAATTTAACTATTAACTGCATGATAAATTCGATAACAAAATCATTTATTCGTATATTAGGCATTAAATTATGTCACTTAGTATCTTCCATAATTGATCGACATATTTCACTTAATATGATGAATATTTATGAACGTCTCCTAAATTTAAATTTTTTAAAAGTTATCAACATTGTTACTTTTGTTTATAAATACTTGTTGCAAAATAAAATCATTATATTTGCCTTGGTAAAGTCGATCAGAGGATGAAACGCGTTGGCTAAGATAAGTTGTCCTTCTGTCTTTATTCACACACGCACACACACACACGCACACACACGCACACACACGCATATATATATATATATGTCTTTATTCATATATATATATATGTCTTCATTTATATATATATATATATATATATATATATATATATATATATATATATACACACACATAGAGGTAATAATCCGTTGGTATATAATCCATGTGAATCCTAATAATAGAAAATATAAAAATTGATCCACAAACAGAGCTCAATGTATTTATTATAACATAGCATATAAGTAATATAGGAAATAAATTCAAAATTACCTCATTCAAATAGCTATTTCAGCCCACGGAGACGTTTAGGCCTTGTCAACACAGAGGAGTGAGGAAATAAAATTCTATTTTTTAATTCCTGTGTTGACAAGGCCTAAATGTAAGTCTTCTTGGACCGAAATAGCTATTCGAATGGGGTAATTTTGAATTTCTTTTCTATGTACTATCATTCCCCATGTATAATACGCCTTCATCCATAAAACGCACACCTAACATTGTGCTGAAAATGTGGGAAAATGCTTCAACTCATGCATAATACGCATCTCTTGTTTGGTAATCAAACCCTATAAATTGTACCTCTTCAATTTCTGTCTTATTTAAAAAAAATGGTTTTAAACAGAGAATAATATTATTCTAATTTAGTTTTATGAAAATTATTATTTTATTGTACGGCAATGTTTTTTTTGCAGCTGTGCATAATACGCAACCCAGATTTTGCTTATTATTTTTTAGAAAAATGCATATTAAACATGGAGAATTCCGGTATAATATATATATATATATATATATATATATATATATATATATATATATATATATATATGGGAAAGATGCTAAACTTGTATTCATTTTTTAATTAATTTTTAACAGCAAACCTCGACCTATGGTCGTATTTTCATTTACATTTTCCTTGTCGAGTTCGTCTGTGAGGGAATATTCCCTTTTTTTTATATTCA